TTTCAACAAAACCATTATACCCTGATTTCCCATTTTCAATGGGTTCAGGGTATAAAAGTAGCAACATCAGTTGGCAGCTGTAAGCAAACCTAACGACAGACAGCCAGGCGGACAGACAAATAGACGACCGTCACAGACATATTGTGTCTGCAAAACTTTGTTGACAACAGCAACCACAACAACAGCAGCAACAACAACAACGCCATCGTGGAGATACAACAACAAGGAGAGTGGTTGAGCCGAGGATCTAACGGCTAAAAACCGCGCAATGGAGCGCATGTGGAAACAATGAAATTATTGGTTAAATTTATGTGCTCTCTATGAAGTGGGGCTGATGCTGCAGGATGGGGTGCGCCCCCACGCCCCACGCTAACTCCCAGCCCCCACGCAATTTGCCTTGTAATTGTCGACATGTCAGCACATTAAACGGCCATAAAACGTTGGCAAAATGGCAAATCAAAGCAACTTGTCCCGCGTCGGCCAACTTTTCTAATTTACGACCGTGGAATGCAACAGTTAAGCGCCTGTGGCCTTTTGAACTCTCGACCCCGGCCACATTTACATGCACACGAACCGACCTCAGCCGCCACGCCCCCCAGTTGAGCTGGGCTGGACTGAGCTGGGCTGGGTCTGGCTGCTCTGGTCTACCTGCAAAGTTGCTCTAAAATTTATCATGACACTAATGAGCATGAAATGGGACAAGGTTTATTAAATTTCCTTTTTAAAATGCGCACATGGCAAGTTGCCCAGAGGAAGACGCTCCTCTGCCCCAGCAGCACCAGCACCAGCGCCGCCAGCAGCGAATGGCAACAAGTTTTCCGCAGCTTTTCTCTCTTTCTCTGCTCATCAGCGCAAGCGGGCGGCTGCACTGCATCGAGTCGAGTGTTGGCGACATGGAAGTGGCGCCATTGCGACTTTCGCACTCTCCTTTGCTACCTATCAGCTGCCTAACTTTGGCCCCGCCCCGGTCCCCAGCACACATTCCGCTCTACCCTCGCCACACACATAGACAGACGTCCGAGCAGCTGCTTCCCGGGCAGCAGAATGAAAAATGTCCGCAAGTGCGAAAATGAATCTGCCCCATGTTGCAATTTATTATGCCAACATAATAAATATTATATACAGTTGGCGTGTCAGACACTCACTGACTCCGACGGCCCAATGAAGTGGGGACGGTCTCCTGCGCTTCTTTGTTGCCCCGCCTTTGGGTGGCACGATTCGAGGAAGCGCCGCTTTGTAACAGTTTGAGAAATGTTTAAAGCATTGCCACACTCCTAGCCTAATTGTGGCTGAAAGTAAAGTTGGCTCTCTGCAGCCAATAAGAGAAACGAAAAACTGTTTTTCTGTAGATATTTTGTTAAATTTGTTATAAAAGTAAAGTGACACCTGAATGAAATCTGTAAATCCAAACAGTGAAAGACTAAATATTACTTTACTAAGTAAAGTCATCGGAATGAAATCAAAATATAAGGCAGGACCCTAGGAATGTTCGATTGCTGGTTAAAGAGAATAGAAAATATTGACTGGGACATAGCTGTTCATTTCTCCAAATGCAAACAAAAAATCGCTAGGATTTGCTATTTGGAATATAAACTTCCTCTGCTTGATAGTTACCAAGTATTAAACATCTCAGATCAAACAATCACAATCAAAACTTGAATTTGCAGAATAAATATTGCAACTAGATATAACAATATATTAACATTTTATGTAAAATTTTAGTGAAAGGACTAAACATTCTTACTTGATTACATTTGCCAATAAATACGTATGTATGTACTCTAAATGTTTATTTATAGTTTGGAGCGACAACCAACAAACTCCGGCTTTTATTAAAAAATCGTATTTTTGAATGAACTACTATTATAATTAAGAGTATTAGAGCCCATATATATTTTCTCGCTTGGAATGGATGTACATTCTCTGTGCGACCTCATTTTTTTATTTCATTTCATTTTTTAATCCATTATAATATGGCAGAGGGACATACTGCAAAATTAAATATTCCAGTCCAGACCATCACTAATCAATAATAATATATCTATGCCATACTTAATACATGGAAAAGGCAAGGTAAAGGCTGTCTATACCGAATCGAATATAAGAAGTTATTGAAGCTTAGTTTTCAAACAGAATTAATGATCTTTTTGGGTAATACTTTAAGTACTCGAACCTGTATATCGTAATATTTGCCAGCACGGGACAAGATATCATCCAGCCCGTCAGTCTAAGACTTAACATTTTATATCAACATGGCAAACCACAAATGCAAATAACGGTATATATCTTCGTTAATATAGAGTAATCAGACTAGATTTGAATCATAATTAAGACTATTTACACTCTTCTAGGCCAGTTGAGTCGTGCAGAGAATCTTACCACTTCTAACCGTGCTGTGGTGCTTGTTTATTTTGAACTTAGCCCCCAACCCTTCCGCTCCCTCTTGGGTGTCTGACGATTTTTGGGTACGCACCCATAAATAAATCATTCAAATTGTCAACAGGAATTTATTTGCGTTGCGTTTTCGTTTCATGTAAGTTTCTTGCGGTATTCCAAGCGGAAATGGACCACAGAGTGGGACTCGGAGTGGCAGTAGCAGTGCCAGTGGGAGCGAGCAAGGTGATGATCAAGGGTGTCATAAGGACTCTGTAGAGGGCGAGGGAGCAGCAAAGGCAAGCTACAAGCTACAGCTTCAGTACATTTTGCTTATGTCAGAGCTCAAGTTGCTGGCGACGCAGTCTGTCCCGGTGTCTTTTGTATTTGTGAATTTATGCAACTGTATGGGTAACTGTAAATGTGTGTGTGTGTGTGTGTGAATGTGTGCTAATGTTATAGTTTATGCTGCTATGTTGTCATCTTGGTCGCCTTTGCGGTAGCCAGCTTTATTGTAGTTGAGATACCCTAACTAAAGGTAGCAAAAAACACCTCCAAATAATTATATTTCATATGAGCGTCTACTTTTCAATGATAATATATTTTTGCAAAGTATTTGATATTGGCGATTATTATTTTTCAATTCATTTTCTATGAATTTTTAATAATTATTATACCCTGAACCCATTGAAAATGGGAAATCAGGGTATAATGGTTTTG